AGAGATGAGCGCTATGCAAATGACTCACTGAGGGTCAGGACTCTGATAGCTCAAGACCTTTGGGCTTCTAACTATTTCCAACTCTCTGGCTAACATCCACCTTTGGAAGCATTCTCTGAAAGAAAGGTCTCTATTTCTACCACTATCCATGAGCCCCTGGTCTAATTCTTTGTTTCAAAGTGACAGTACACGGAAGTCCCTGCAGGTGCCCTCTTGACTCCAATCCACACATACAAGAGTAAGTCGGCAATGCATTGAATACCTCGAATCCACAGAGGCACCTCGCTCAGCTGCACAGTCCATGTGGCCTGCCAGGTGCTCATTCTCATGATAGCACGGTGGACTAAGACCCTTGTTCACTGCAGGTGAGCTATAGCCCGGCATCCTCAGAGAGTATCATGGGCTAGCATGCTAATAGCACAGGAAAACATCAAAATTCAAAACTGGAAGTGCAGCCTTTACTGGATGTATATCACTTTTATATCCCCCTAAAAACCAAAGTCAAACCATCGCAAATCAAGGACCATCTAGATCGTGTTTGTACCACACAGCTATGATATAGATGGAAACAACGTCAAGAGCGCAGTTAATAATAAAATGTCATACAAGAATTAGGAAGCCATGAGTTTTGAGTTCTTATTACTTTTGTTTTAAGAGAAAATTGAAGCAGGACATGCTGGTATAAGTCCGCAGTCTCAACCCCAGGAGGCAAGACAGAATCATGAGTTCAAGGCCAGTCTGGGTTAGCTCTGAAGATCCTGTCTCAAAGCAAGCAGGAGATACAGCTCAGTGGCAGCGCTTGCCTAGCATGTGTGACCCTTGATTCAATTGCTTGTCCCACAAATCAGATGAACAAAAGTTATAATAAAAATTAAACTAAAATAAAATATAAATGAAACTATAGTTGTACATAAACCTCATGGGCTTTTTAGGGGTGCATTCCTTTTTCCTGTTTGAGAATTGCATACATGTTTATAATGCAATTTGATCAAGTTCACTGGCTTCCTTCCCCTCCAGATCCCCCACTATCCCTCCAACATTCTTCTGTCCCAACTTCACATGTTCTTTCTACAAACACACTGAGTCCACTTAGCACCGGCTGTTCACACAACTTCTGGAGCCTGGATAAGTCAAACAGGGTGTGCATACCTGAAGAAAACTGGCGGTGCTAGGATCTAGGCTAGTTTGAGCTTGTGCAGATCACGCATGTGCAGTTACAGCTGCTTGGAGCTTAAGTATGCAATGTCCCTGTCATGTCCAGACAATGCTGTTTCGCAGGTGTCCTCTGCAGCCCCCTGGCTCTTGTCACCTTTCTCTCCTAAGAACTGCCTCATAGACATTCTAAAAACTTAAATACTCAGTACAGGAGGTAAGTACACAGGATCTAGCACACTATAATCAATCAATCAATCAATAAAATGGAGGTAGTGGCACATGTTTACAATCGCAGAATTTTGAAGGCAGATGTAAGAGGTTCACCACAAATTCAAGGCCAGCCTGGTCTACATAGTGAGTTCTAGGCCAGCCTGGGCTATGTAGTAAGACTCTACCAAAAAAAATTCCAATTCCATGTGTCAACCATCATAATGGAACCATCCAACAGAATGAGGGAGAAGAATAAGTTCAATGGGACCACAGAAAGGAGGGACCTAGGAATATACAAATTTGCCTTGGGAAATGTTTTAAGACTTTTTAATAGAAAATTGAATCCTCAATCAGAGACAAGTCTCATTCCCACCACCAATGCTGGGTAGCTATAATAGTTGTGTTAATTGACAACTTGACAGAATCTAGAACCACATGGGAGGTGGGCCTCTATGTATACCTATGGAGGAACATCTTTTTTTTTTTTACTTTTTTTTTAATTGAGAAAAGGAAAAAAAAAGTTTCTGCCTCCTCCCAGCCTCCCATTTCCCTCCTCCTCCTCCTCCCACCCTTCTCCCAACTTCCCCCACTCCTCTCCCCCTGCCCCCACTCTTCTCCCCCTCCCTCTCCAGTCCAAAGAGCAGTCAGGGTTCCCTGCTCTGTGGAAAGTCCAAGGTCCTCCCCCCTCCGTCCATGCCTAGGAAGGTGAACATCCAAACTGGCTAGGCTCCCACAAAGCCAGAACATGAAGTAGGATCAAAACCCCGTGCCATTGTCCTTGGCTTCTCATCAGCCCTCATTGTTCGCCATGTTCAGAGAGTCCGGTTTGGAAACCTGTGAGGAGAACCACTTCCTAGTCAGGGGATATCGGGCTGCATCAAATGGAAAAGGGGGAGGGAAGTGAACGCTACCTCGCCTTCATCCTTCCCTGCTTCCTGACTATGGCTGTGTCGTGACCAGCTACTTCAGCCTCCCTCTTACCTCCTTGACTTTGCCTCCATAATGGACTATACTTGGAACTGTGGGTTAAAACAAATCCTTTCTCCCTGTTACCTTTTGCCCGAGTATTTAATCACAGCAACAGGGAAAGAAACTAAGACAGGTGTGCACTGTGTTTATCTTACCTTGTCTAGTCTAGCATGAGAATAGCAGATTCCATTGATTAAGGCTCACATCTAGGGAAGCTGGTTAACAGGCCACATACTCACTGGCTATTTCTATGTGGACTTTACTGGGAATGTTTGTCTTCTCTGCTCCCTCAAACCCTTGGATTATCTTATCATTAGCATCCATGTAGTCACGCACAGCTGAATGTAGGTCCCTTCTCCCAAAAGCATGGGCTTTGTGTATGTCCTTCCTGTGTCCACAGCAGAAATCCCACCCACTTTGACTAGGCGCTTCCTGAACTCTGGCCAAGGGAACAAGACAATGGTTTGGGGAGCATCTTCACTCAGGAGTTAACGCAGAGTGATGGGAGCCATATAAAAGTGGCACTTCTTCCTTGGTGACACAGATTCTCCATCAGTATAATGAAGAGCAACTGCATGTAACCCAGGAAAAAGACAGAAGGAAGTCTGCAGCTCAGCTCATCTGATCATCAGGCAGGGGCAAGTTGGTCAAACTGCAGGAGAATCGTCTTTGCAGATTGCATTTTGCTTAAGAAATGATTGCAGTGTGTCTGTGGTACTGCCAGAGAAAATCAAATTCTCTGCAAGAAACTGTCTTCTGACCCTGCTTAAAGACTTCCCATGATTTCACTTCCATTTTCTATGTCTTTGCAGTGCCCCTTTCCAAGAGAAGCATTTAGTTTGGTGTTTTCTACTCAGGAGACAGTGGAGAGGACCTGTAGGGAGGTCACAGCACACTACAGCAGGCAGTGTTTGCACGGGGCTACAGGGGCATTTGTGAAAGGCCCTAACCTTTCCTTCATGACTCCTTAGAAGCAAAGAAAGGAGGAGCCACCTATCCCTGTGGTAGATCCATGGATGGCCCCTGAAAGTTATATTGCCCCCTGATTGCTTGAATCTGCCAATGTAGCTTTACGTGAAAAATAACTTTAAGATCTTAAGGCTATCTTGTCTTGGTTTGTAACCCTGAGTGAGGGGTATGGATGCAATCAGAAACACAAGAGAGGGCCTCGGACACGAAAATGAAATGAGAAGTTCAAGGCCCACAGGGCAGTAACAGCTACAAAGTATGCTGGCAGTCACCAGAACCTAGGAGGACAAGGAACAGATGTGCCCTAGCGCCTTCAGGGGACATGCTAACACCCCAATTTCAGATCCCGACCTCCGGAGCTGTGAGAGGATAGATTTACACTGCTTTAAACCACTATATCTATAGTGACTTGTTAAGGCCAACCCGGAGATCTCATCTCCAGGCCGCTGAATATTTTTTGTGGCATTGTATTCCCTGTTCCTGCTAGAGCTTCCTCTTGAGGTTGTCATTCAAATCTTCCGAGGGTTGTCCTGCCTTCAGTTTTGTGTCCTCCAAGTCCAGCTCCTACCAGATGTCAGAGAAATCTTTAAAATCTCAAATCAAGACTCACGAGCTCCTGCCTGAACTCTTCCATCAATAGACAACAAGCCAGTCACAGGCATCAAGACGGAACCCAATTCTCAAGCTGTGCCCATAGATGCTGAACACCTCGCCCCAACCTATTCCTTGTACCTTCTATCTGGCAAGACAAGTGTCCCTTCCAGCCCTCTACCCTAGCTAGGGCTGACCATGTGTTCACTCTTTGAACATCGAGGCTTTCAGATGCTGTTCCTTCTGCTGTCTGCACCCTCCCCTTTTTGGCTTGCTTTCTGAGTACCATGACGTTCTTAAGGAATTCTTCTAGCTATTCCATCTACTGCTATTGCCACCTCTAAAGAACTGTGCTCTTTCCTCTAGGGCCCCCACTGTCTGCAGCCCACTCCTGACCCATACACCTGTCTACATCCACCTGTGGTCCCTTTCTCCAGGAGCTCCTTTGGAGCAAAGCCCATTCTGGTCTGCTTTTACTTTGTATTCCCAAGACTGACCTCACAGCTATCACACTGGGATCCAGTGGAGAGACAGATCGACAGATGGAAGGATGGATGAACAGACAGATGGAGACACGAATATGGGAGTGAACACAAACACAGTTCCAAATGAACTCACACATGGACAAATTCTCAGGAGGATCAGACCAGCAGAGAAGCTGCCAGAATGCAGCTTGAGCCACACAAATGAACCCCAATGTGGTAACTCTAAAGCTGATAGAAGGGAACTAACCAAGGCAAATCTGCATTTTCTGGAACTCTCTCTAGTTGATAACACCACTCTCACTTCGACCAGTCCTTTATTCTCCAGAGCAGCCTAGTGACACAGGTCACTGTCATCTCTGCGTATAAGTCAAGGCTCAGAGGGCATATGAACACTGCTGAGATCTCCCAGGCAGGGAAGTGCTGGAGGCCAGTCCCCAGAGAAGGCCTTCCCAGTGCTTCAATCCCCACCCTTTGCATCCATCAAAAGCCTGAGCCCTGTGCTCGGGTTCTGTGTCCATGGGCCCTGCCTAGCCTCTGCTGTGAGCGACTATAGGGAAATGACTGAGGTGCTAAAAACATCTGACTGTGCCCAAGCGGGGCTCACAGACACACACCACTCACCTGAAAATGACTGAGAGGATGGAAAGTGACAAGACATCAACCACTTGTGGCGCGGTAGATGACTGGTTAGCATGAATATTGTGTTGATTCCTGCGAGATGGAAGAAGATGTCACTTATCGTTAATGGGGTGTCACACACATGCTCGCCTAAAGGAAAATGCTCTTTCGGTTGTTGCTATTGTTCTCAATTTTCTCCTTATTTTAGAGCCATAAAAAAAGAAAAGATCAGCAGAAAGGATGATTTCACCTAGGGGTGGGATGGCAAGGCAGTCTTCTGATTTAGTTCCTTTCCTGTCTACCAAACGGTAGTCAAAACATTGTGCGTGCAGAGATGGTGGCCGGGTGCTGAGAGCAGTCAAGTTCATGGGGCTGTGGATGAGAACCTCAGAATTCAAGAGTCCTCGCCTGTAAGCACATGAGTCCCACCAGGACTACCAAGCTTTGGAAAAGTTACACTCAGCTCTGCTCAGCTGGGATGGTTTGAAAATACATGCACAAACTGTATTAAGATAGATGTGAGCACCCCATCGTGAGCTCTAGCATATGGTCAGTAAACAATTTACCTTTGTATGAGCCACAAGCCATCCCAGGATTCAGGTGCAGATGCCTAGCCCCGTTCTAAGAATTCTAAATTTTCAAAGGCTTAGAAATCAAAGATCTCTTTCAAAAATTTGATGAAAATATAATTGATGCAAAGACTTTATTTATACCTATGCTCTATTTAAAAATATTTATTTATTTAAATTCTTCGTTTTCTTTGGGTTTTTGTTTTGGGGGGTTTGTTTTGTTTTTCCAGAGATAGGGTCTTTCCACGTAGGCTAATCTCAACTTCACTATTCTCCTGAACACCTCCTGAATGCTAGAACCACAAGTATGTATTACAATACACAGCATATTCCTGCTTTTTGCTTTAAAACACCAGCCTACTTGATTTGAGAATGTCACCCAGCTTCTGCTGGAATGTTATTTGCTGTGTGCGATAGGTATATTGCCATTCTTAAAGAATTAAGTAAATCTGAATTCAGAAATACATTGGGCCTCAAGAACTATGGCTAAGAGATTGAAAACTTGTTCAACCTGTTTTATGGATGAGGGGGCAGACTCAGAGGTGAAAGAATTCACCTGGTGCTGCACAGCTCCAAAGTAGCAGAAAAGAGTCTGCTACAAAGCTGCTGGCATAGTAACCCCCTAAGTTTTTGTCCATGTGTCTCTTCTAAGTGACCTCTACTCCATCCTTCAGGCCCAGAAACTCAATCCTGTTGATTCTTGAGCAATACGTACACATATGTCATCTTAGATGGCTGAGAAACAAGATCAGCTCGTAGGACAATAATTAAAATGCTTTAGTAAACAGATGAATGCAATAAAAAGAACGGCATCTGGAATGCATCAACAGCATCAGTCACAGTCAAGGACTTGCTTCCTATGAGTAGCCAGGACCAAAACTTGAGCTGGAGCCCCACATCTTAGAGATTCTACCACCTCCCACAGTGCCATGGGTATGAAATCAAGTCTGTCAGATGGTCCTGTAGACACATTTATTCAAACCATGATACTTCATCAACAGATGAGAGAAAAATGATACAAATGGAAAGTAATGAACACAAGAAAGAAGAGAGATAGATGATAGACAGATAGATAGATAGATAGATAGATAGATAGATAGATAGATAATAGATGATAGATAGATAGATAGATAGATAGATAGATAGATAGATAGATAGATAGATGATAGATACATACATACATACATGCATGCATACATATACTAGGCAAGAGCCTGCACTTGGACTGTCAGCCAAACACAGTGGCACATCTGTATAATCTAAGACTAGATTTCAGAGACAAAAGAATCCCAGCAACTTACTGGCCAGCCAGTCTAGCCAACCAATCTACTGAGATCCTGCCTAAGAAACACAGCAGAAAGTAATAAAAGAAGATATCAAATGTCACCCTCTGACCTCAACAAGTTCATGCACCAGAGCACGTATGTGTTCTCAGACATCACACTCACACAACACGTCGCATAATTAAACAGAAGGCAGATAGTGTCTTTACTCTATCTGGGACAAAGCACCATGACCAAGACAGCTAAAAGAAGAAAGTGTTCAACCGAGCTTACAGTTTCAGAACGTTAGAATGAGCCGATGATGGTGGTGGTAACAGCTCACATCCTGATCAGCAAGGAAGAGGTAGAGAGTACACCAGGAATGCTCCAAATCTATTGAAACCTCAAAGCCTGGCCCCTGTGACACACTTCCTCCAACAAGGCTACCCCCTCCTAATCCTTCCAACCAGTTCCACCAATGAGGAATCAAGTATTCAAGCATGAACCTATGGGGCCTACTCTCACTCAGACCAGCACAGATATGTAGATTATAAGTGACAGGTGATAGCTACATAGATAAAGATATATAGATAGACAGAGATGCGTTTTGCTTCTTGTTTTAATGTCTCTAAATTGGGGACCTTTCTTGCCATGGATGTGTATTTTTAATATAATGTTTATGCTGTAGCTGTTTCCAGAAAGCAACAGCTTATCTGCAGGTACCTCTGTTTCCTGAACAGCATCTTAGAACTAAGGGAACATTTGGGGAAAATTGGATATCTTTTCCCCAATTTGGTCTTAAGGAAGTGAGAGAAGAACAAGCTGCAGACCTAAACTGTGGTCATATATGTCTCCAGGTGGAGGCCACATGGTCTTAGACAGAGGAACTCTAAGACCAAGTCCCAGAGATATCCCCCTTTCCAGGGAGAAGTTAGGCAAGGATTTTTTTTATTTGCATTCCAAAACCCTAACAAATGGCTGCAATCCACACTTTGAAGTTTTGCTAATTAGTTTTAGTGTGTGCCTCTGTCACCTTCTGGAGGAAGCTAAGGATTTTAACCTTCAAACTTAGCAACAATGCATGTCAGAAGGCATTTCAGAGAGTCAAAGTGTGTTGGGAGTCTTAATTGTTCCCTCTGAGAGAGTACTGTCTCTTGGGAAAGAAAATCTCAAAACTAAAACTATCCCCAAGTCCTCCATCTAGGGAAAAATGTTAAAACAGAGTTACCCATAGAGGCAAAGAACTAAAGCTAGAAGAGAGAGTAAATCAGAAATCAGATATTTCTCCTCTATTTAAGAAACCTCCCGTGGCTCCAAACTGAACCTGGAATACAATACAATTTCCTCTTGGTGGTTTTCCAGGGCTCATGTGATCTGTGCCCTGACCACCTTTTAATATATGCTTTCTTTTTACAACTTCTCCTTCATGAAGCACACTTTAAACACTCCAGTCTCGGCTTCTGTTTGTTTCCTTCCTTTTCCACAAACACATCAAACACATTCTAGCCTTTAAACTTGCTGTTTTTCCTGCCTGGCATGACCAACCCACCAAAGCTACTGACTCAGTTATGAAGGATGCTAAAGGCACAAGGAGCCAGGGAAAAGAAATGGCAAATATTATCAATCAATACCCAACACCAAGGCCGTGATGTGTTAGAGCAAAGAAGACGAGCATTCCATAGGAAGGGAACTCAAGGTGTAAATGCTCATGAAAAGCCCCAAGGAAGACACATTCTCCTGGTGGTCTGGAAATAGAATATGGGGTCTGACTACAAGGCAGTGACCCAGGAAGGGAAAAAGAAGATGTGGTATGAACTGTTGAGTAGCAGTCTGTGGCGCTCCCCTGGAGTGAGTGTTGGGATTTTAATCCAAGGGAGTTTGTGAAAACATCTGAGCTCTGGGACAGAGAGGGATGTGACCGGGCGTTTCAACACTCTAGATTTCCAGATGAATTTCCTGCGTTGATGTCACGCCATATGGACACACTGTCAAGAATATGTCATGTCTCTGGCCACACGGCTGTTGACCACTTGAAACACGGCAGATGTGACTGAGAAAACTGAAGGCTTAATTGGATTGTCTAATTAATTTCCTTTTAGGCACTCACGTGTGGCTGGCAGTTACCATATTGATCAGCCCAACTCAACTGCTGGGGGACAAATAATTATGGGATGTGGGAGATGAACGACAAGAGTGGAGACAGGACGATTCATCAGGAGGGTGTGCAGCCGAGTGGAGGGCAGCCGAGTGGAGGGCAGCCGAGTGGAGGGAGGATGCTTCTGGCTGGGAGTATGGTTCAGGAGGAGAGGCGGGAGTGGGACGAAAACAAAAGGGAAATGAGAACTCATGGAAAACACCTAGGGCCCAGTTTCAGCTTGGGCTGAGTGGTCATGGTGCCGTTTTGATGTGGGAATGGCTGAAGAGGTTATGTCTCAGGGAGGAGACAGAGACAAGAACAAGAGATTCTGTCCAAGTCTTCATGTGGCAGCCTCACTCTTGACATTTGGGCCTCAAATGTCAGCTCAAATGTCACCTCCTCAGAGGGACCATCATGGCCTCTTTATCACTGTCTTCATCTCCCTCTTCATCATTCTCTCTCAGTAGTCCCCATCATTTTCTACCCTAGGCTTGTCTGCGCTTATCTCTGGTGCATTACCGTCCTCTCCCCCAAACAGTAAGCGTTATTCGCACAGCAAACTTATTCTTTGTAATGCGACTAGCTGCTTCAAGTTCCTGCCGCCTTGACTACTCCACCAGTGATGGACCATAGCCGGAAACTGTGAGCCAAGGAAGCCCTTACTTTGTTAGGCTGTTTTACTACTGCGACAGGAAATGAAACTAAGATGGCTGAGGAGGCACTCAGCAACCGGCACACATGCAAAGAAGTCAGCTGCAGGAGCTACGCAGAGTCAGGTGGCCTCTTTGGTTAACATTGCCCACCAACAAAAACCACAGCTATTTTCTCACCAATAACAGATAATTCATATTAGCCCCAAATATTAGGGACATTTGTTCATTCCAGCAAGGTGTCATTTATACCATATTCAACTCCCCTTACAGACCAGCTCCTCTCTGACAATACATGGCTGCATTGCACTCCAACATAAACGCGGGCCCCCTCAGACTTCTCCACGCCGCAGGCACAAGCCAAACTCCTGGGCATCTTCTGTCATTCCACAATGACTCTCAGTTCTGAGAACACACTTCCTTTTCCTCTTCACAGGCTCCTGAAATAAGATCCTTTCTGCTGAAAGCAATTGTA